TGGCTTCGAATATAGAAGACAAATATAATTGACTCATGTTCAAATTGATGACCATCATTGTCCGGGTAATGCACACCAACGGATTCGCAAATGTCACGAAACAGGTCATTAGAAATATCGCGACATTGTCTTTCAATTTCCAATTTCAGTGCATCAGTTGTTCTTGGTTTGGTGCGATAAACGTTATGTTTAAGATATCCCCACAAAAAGAAGTCCATGGGTATGAGGTCTGGGGAACGGGAAACGTGGTGGGTATTCAGTGGTACCCCTTCGTACAATCCATGTGTCTGGAAAAGCTGCATTGAGGTGAATAATACAAATTACATCGCGATGGTAGTGGGGAGGTGCTCCATCTTGCTAAAAGTAAATCTCGTCATCATCACCAAATATCTCTGAAATTTGTGGACTGAAAAACTCCTGAAGCAAATTGAGGTAATTCTCACCAGTGACAGTTCCGTTAAAAAAAATGGTCTTATGAGGCCCAATGTGAATATCCCACACGACACTGTTACACCTGTTAAGTTTACATTGTGTATAACTGTTACATGAGGATTTACAGGCCCCCAGTACGTGCAATTATGGCCATTAATGGAACCACTTAATTTGGAAACCCTGCATCTTCTGCACATTTTGTCAGGTACCATTCACAGAATTGAACTCTCTGGTCAGAGTCATCTTTGTAGTGTTGGAATGGCTTTTTCAGTGCAGAGGGCGCTTCATCCTGAGCATTTGTCAAAGAGTTCTGTGATGATCAAAAGAGTGTTTCCTGCACCTGCTCTTCTTCCAGGGCTCGTGGTAGTCCGGAACGTTTCTTATTGACATTCTGGACGGTTCAAACTTGTCTCTCATGCGAGCAATGGTCCGCCTCATTGGTGGGGCTTTTGCAAATTCCCATCTGTATCGTCTTTGCACTTCAATGGTATTTTCGGTCTTCCAATAACATTTCAGACAAACTTCCTCTCTTCCAAGTTAAGTTGATTTCCTGCCATGCTGTAATAAATTAATTACACCTGCAGTTAAAAAAAGGCAGCATGTTAGCGACAGTTAAAGTGCGATTACATTTCTTTGAGACACGCTGTATTTAATGCTACTTGATAAATTGCATAAAGTTTATTTTATTCTCAAACTTATTAATAATTATGCTAATTAATTCATGTTTAGTAATTATGCATACTACTTAGGGATCTATTTTATTTTTAGGATGGTATTACAAAAGTGAAATTCAGGCGTAGATAATATTTTTAATTGAATTTATTCAGCTCCCATTTGCTCATAGGTCCTTAATTTTTTTCCATTAATGGTCCTTAAAAGTACTTCATTTTCGTGTGCAGAAATGTGTACAAATTCTGATACTCTAATAAAAGCATAGTAATATCCAAGCAGTAGTAACATACCTTTTTAAATTAATATATACATGTCAAATGATAGCTTTTTGAATATTTCACTTACGTTGTACGATGTGCTTCATTATTACATACTCATGATTTATTACCTCGTGTAAATTCTATTAAAATAAATTTTTAGAAATTTCGTTGTAAACTTTCATCTTCTTTGTGCCTTATTTATAGAAGAGTAGAAATCTTATTGCTTTAAATCTGAAATTTAATTAGCTCTGTCCCATTAAAATAACTGCTACTTATTGCACTTCATATGTTTGCTCCTCATGCAGATTCAGTTATAATTTGTCGACATTTTTATGCAGTGTAATGAATATGTTACTAATTAGATAAGAATCATACAAAAAGTTAGATTTTGCATTTTTGGAACTGCTTCCTTTCTAGTGCAGAAATTTGTTTCATAAAATTCTCTCTCTATATATTTTTTTCTTTTAGTTCAAAGGGGCTTTGTCCCTGAAGGACTATTGTTTTTGTTTTGCGATTTTGAATTGAATCACTATAAATCTCTGTTTCATTTTTCAAACTGTTGCCACCAAACGTTAGAGTCCTGCATTATATTTAAGAAATTAAATAATGAAAAATCTGCATAAATATATGTATATTTCTTGCATTGTGATAAATTTAGATGTAATTTAAAATCTAAAACTTTTTGTTGTTGTAATTTGTAACAAAAGCCTATCTCATCTTTAAGCATCTCAGAGAATTCTCTAGCATGGAAAGAAAAAGGAGGGTGCAAAAGATAAGTTTAATATACAGGCAAAAGTCTTTAATCCGAACGTCCATAATCTGGAATGATCTATAATCCAGACCTCAAAGCTACAAACTTTCTGCGCATGCGTTAACGCAAGCGCATAATACCTTTACGCATGCACTAGTACGTTTACGCATGCACGTTTAATGTATAACGGATGGTATAAGCTAAGCTAAAATTATCTAATTATCTATTTCAGTTAATGTTGGAGATTGCATTGTTCCTTAATCTTCTAATTGGATCCGGCTTATTATTTTTTGCAGATTGTTAGAGCAATTTTATAAAAGTAAGCTTGAACTTTCGATTATGTCAAAAAGAATTTCCGATTCCGGAGCTACCAAAGGATCTACAAATCGAAAGCATGTTTCAATGTCCATCAAACAAAAAGTGGAATTGCTGCAAAAAACGTATAAAGGCATATCCTTTGATTCTCTAATCATTCTGGAATGTGTTTATTAATTTCACGCTGTTCTGGGGGGGGGGACACGGTGTGCAAAGAACTGGAAGTTGATCTGTCAGCACTATCCTTATCTTCAGGGCAGATGTTTTTATTTTATTCGGCTTATAATTCCTTACTAAACGTAGTATTTCATCTCGATGTACTCCGTCTTTGATTTGATTTAAATCAAATTCCTCGTCATTATAAATATCACGAATACACATCAAATAGTTTTCTGGTTGCAATTTTCTAATTTCGACTATGCGTAATGTATTAGTCTCTGCTTTATCTTCTGATTTGTTAATGACTCAACAATACACCTTTGAAGAAAATTTTCTCTTTCTAATTAATGAATTTCTTCTTCAATAAGTTTCCTCTTTAGAATTTTCAAATTTAATTAAAGATTTCTATTATTCTAAAGGACTGCTAGTCTTAAGCAAGAAGAGAAGAACCTGCTAATTTCATTAATGAGTATTGATAATAAACATAAAGTAATACATGGTCAGGGCCGGCACCAGAGCCAGTGTGGCAGAATTTTGAGAATTTAGTGAAATACTGAGCTAAATAATTTCTGGGATAACAATATTTTTAAAATTTATGGCCCATAGAGATTATACCATGCAGCAAAATGCCTAATGCTACCCTGTGTATGGTGCACTGAGGCATATACAGATGGATCTCTTAAATTGTCACTTTTCAATTTCTTTATTAGTAATAGAAAAAATCCTATCTACAGATACCAGCTCATGTAACAAGATAAGAACCATCTTCGCAATATTCCATGCTTAAGTCTAGCGAAAAGATGAGAAAATAAAGGGAACATATTAATAGTAAGACCTCTAAAACTGGAAAAAAAATAGTATCCTTCTAAACGTACAAGCCAAACAACATAAAATCAGCATTATATTTTCAAATTTTCACAAGACTAGTTTCGGTGGTTTTACCGAACCATCATCCTCAGCTGCAAAAGCGTAAATGAATGAGGTAAGATATAATGATTAGATAAGATAAGAAAGCCTGGACAGGAGATAAGCTACTGGCACCATCTGTTGATGAAACCAGAAATCTGTCCAGGTTTTCTTATCTTATCATATCTAATCATTATATCTTACCTTGTTCATTTACACTTTTGCAGCTGAGGATGATGGATCGGTAAAACCATCAAAACTAGTCCTGTGAAAATTTGAAAATATAACGCTGATTTTTTGTTGTTTGGCTTCTAAGTTAATATTTGTTCAGCGTGTTATTGTATCTTAATCCTTCTAAACATTCTAAGATGCAAGGTCTAACTGAAAGAAAAATTATCTGTGCCAACTTTGTAAGTGCAAAAGCTAGAAGAGTTCTGAAAAGGAGGGGGGAGACAGGTGTAAAGTGAATTTTTGAGAAATTGATACATATTTGAAGATTCTGAAATAATTACACAAGGAAAAACTCTTATTATGAAAAAAATATAAAAGACAAAAGAAATTAATTTAAAATTAGTTATACTACTATTAAAAAGAATAGTTGGAATGAATTGGATTGTAATGTTAAATATTAATGGAGTAATTTTTTATTCTGCAGTGCTGCCAATTCAGAGATTTTCATCACATCTTCCTCTTTCCATTTCAGCCACTTTTTTCACCTCTTTGATGATCCTAACAATTTTCTTCATTATTAACTTTTCTAAAATTTACTGTCAGTGAATTTTTAAAATATCATTTGAAAATTTATACTTCAAGTTATTAACTGAATAAGTAGCAACAGTTCATTAGAGGTTATAACATTGCCTCAAAAGAGGTAAACAAGTGTAATGTCCAGTTGTGACTTATCAGACTCGTGCCGTATTCCAGACAAATGTTACAAAACTTTTTACATCCAAACAGAACGTATAACTGACGTACCACTTTATACTGCACTAAAACCTAACACCTTAAAAAAAAAAAAAAAGAAAAGAAAAGAAAAAAGAAAGAAAGAAAGAAACGAGGAGAAAAGTTTCATTTTAAAAAGGTTTACTTTTTTTAAAAAATTAATGCATTTTTTGTTTGGGACAATCGTCTGTTTTTAGATATTAGCATTTTCATTTCACATTTAAATCATCTAATTTCTAATAAAATTATGTTGATCATATAAGATAACTAAATTTTGCATGTGTTATATTTTATTTAAATAAATTGTGATTATCATTAGTATTAAAATAAAAAAATGTACATTCTGATTTTATTAAACATTTAAATTATGCTAAAAAGCATTTGAGTTGCTCTTGGTGTCATATTTTATGAATTTCATATCCTTTAATTTGTAGTGTTTACTAAGTTATCATTTGTAGCTAATCATAGTTAGAAGTCTTGCATTTTCTAACAATTGTACTAGTTTTTATATATTAATTTCAGCAGGATTTTGTGCAATAACTATAAAAATATCTACCTTTCAGGTGGTACTTGCTTTCACATGCCTGGTAAGGAAATGGAGATTTTCCAATGCAGTAGAATTGTGAAGCTGTATAAACTAAAAGACAATTACATTATGTATTTGCAGCTTGAAGGGCAGTTTAGTTGTATTTAATGCTTCTTGTTGGCCGAGTACTGAGTCTTAACAAAAATTTTAGTTGGTGATCATTAAATCATCAACTTTGATTTCACCTAAAAATTAATTGTTGAAATGCAGACCACATGAAGTGTGGTGATGTTTACTTATCCTTTGAGATGAGGATGTTCTTTTCATTACTAAATGGGGACATTTTAACCCAGAGATTGTACTGAAATGGTATTTTGATTAAGTTTGTGTTTAAATGTATTGAAATCATATTTAGATAAAGTTTGTATTTAAATGAAATCTAGATGATGCTAATTGTTAAAAACAAAGTTGCTGTTAGAATCCCAGTATGTATATTTTTGTATCTCAGATTCATATAATAGTATAAAATTATATAAAATACTGGTAGTTTAGTTTTTAATAAGTATTAAAAAAACTTTTTAAATGCATTTAAATAAAAATAAATAAATAAATGAGATTTGAGATCCCCAACTTTGATTTTAAACTTCTTTGTTTTGAAATGCATTTCTGATAAACCTCATCTCAAGGATAAGATTGTGTTCAGATTTAAATATATGAATTGATTTGGGGGTCTAGCAGATAAGGTATAAACCACCTTATTGACCCTGCCTTAGTGCATCGAAGATTATTATAATTGTATAATTATCTTCGGTTATGGGTCCTAGTGCTAGACTGTTATTATTATATACTTCTGTGGAATTTCATAAGATGATTATAATGATAAATGGCCTGTATATACTCACTTGTCATATAAATTTGAAAACAAAGTTTATCAGCTGGTCATTTAAATATTATGCCAAATTTGGTACATCTTGGTTATAATGCAGCTTTAGAGGTACCGTAGTTTCAGATTTTGAAATATGATGTAAGTAATATGATCTTGTACCTGTACTGGAAGCAAAACAAGTACTTAAATAAAAATTGTGTTTTTTATTTAATTATAAAACCTTTTTTTTTTCTATTTAAGTAAATAAAACTATTTGGGAGAAAAAAATAGTGCTTCCAAACTATTAGCAATGAATATGTTAAGGAAATATGAAGTGTTATTTTATGGTTTTCCTGTGAACCATGAAAATTTGCAAAAATAATTCCAGTAGGCATTTGCGGAAACAGATTGTCTTTATTTAATTAGATCACCAACAGTTACAAGTTACAAATATGGCATATAAAGACTTAAAACATTTGTGAGCTCAAGTTTTGAGATTATCTGACAGAGAACTTCATTAAAACTAGCATTAGCCATTCCAACAGTCAAAATTTTCTAGTGGAATATGAAATGCACCAATAAATCAAGTAACCAGGCAATTTACTTATAAATATGAAAAGGATTATTAACCTTCAGATAAATTAATCATGTTTAAAATAATCGCCCAAGGAATCTTTACAGTTTATTTAGCATTTCTTCAGGCCATCAAAACACTGCTTAAATGCATTGTAACTAACCGTTCACGAAATACGTGTAACATTTGAAGCTGAAGGGTGACCTATCTTTGGTTCATCTTCAATGCTTTCATGTCCACATTTAAAGCAGTTGTACAACTCATACCCAAGTGTTTTTGATAACGATGCATCGTCATATACTGTTTGAATCATCTTGAACATTTTAATAGTAGATTTACCTAATTTGTAACAAAATTTAATGTTATTCCATCTAGAAGTCCTCCCCGCCCCAGTAAGCCGGTTATGGTGGCACATTGATAATGAGTGTTACATAAAAACAAAGCAAGATTGTAATAAGACATCATGCATACACATTATTCATGTTAAATTGCATTGTTTAGCGATGGTGTTGAAAAGGGTCAGTGGAAAAATATGTATGTGTAGGAAATTCTGAAGAACGGAATATTTTGAAAATGTTTCTTAAAATCATTTAAGAACACTTACATTTTGATTTGCTTTTCTGTATTTTGTAGTATCTTCATATGTTATTTCGCTTTCACTTGATAAATTTTTACTTGTATGTAATTAAAAGACTGAAATGCATTATTGTTATAATTTCTTCATTCAATAAAAGTCTTTTTCGATTTGATATTTGTTATAATAATCGTTTAATTATTCTGTCACCATCTACATTATAACAAGGAAGCACTATATATATTATGGAATGTTTACCAATGAAGTAAGATCAATGCACTGTGAATTAAAGAATGACTTTTGCAGTTATAATGTTATATACTATGAAGGTCTTTTATTCATGAATTTTCAGCTTACAAGATAGTGCACTGTATCTTTAACAAATGTGTCTTTGAAACTCTCAAGATGATGCATTTAATTTTTTCTTGTATCTTTTGTGTTAATGTGGATTTTATTTCATAGTAATATCATCATGATTTCATAGTAATAACATCATCATTCATCATCATAGTAATAACATTTTCATGGTAATAACATCATGATTCCACCTCATAAAAGTTTTGAGATTACAGTAAATTGATTCAAGTGATTTTTGACTTGTTTCTCGTAAGTTTGCTTCTCTTCCACGCTGGCTGCGGGCTGTTGGTGTGGTTTCCTTTCCTTTAAGACTTTTCATATCTGCGTCTCTGACTTCAGTTTCCCACATTTTGGCCTCCTTTCTTTTCTTTTCTAAAATCACCATCTTTTACATATATGGTCCATCATTAGTCTTTGGCGTTAGTGTTTCCTTTCTGCCAGAAGTTGATACCTGCAAAATATCTTTGAACATTTGTATATCAGTAGGGTCATAATATTTTTTCAGTTGATCCACATTGGCACTAATGTTCTTGCCACTTTTACCTCTTAAGTAACAAACAGTACCACAGATTATTTGTATAATGAACGTTCCATCTGTTATCAGCCGATAGATGGCATTGTAGAAAAGCCGCCGATAGGGGTCGCACGATGGCAATCGGGAAGCGAGGGAATGTGATCAAGGTTAAGAATGTTTCGTAATGATATGTATATATTTACTGTAAAGCATATATAAAATGCAAGAGTTATCCTGATTGAATGAAAAGCCCAACTTACCCCTAGCTGTCCTGAGATTAATAACGGAGATTTAAAGCTAACACATCAAATCTTCAATAAAATATAGCCTCTTTTTTTGTGGGACTTGATGAATGTTTTAATTTCAGAATTTTATCCCCATCAAATCCTCTTGCAATATCCAAATTTCTTACAGTTTTGTTATTCATTTTCTTAATTTTCTGTTAATTTGAATTCTGCCTCCCTGTTCTGCATAAAGAACAATTTTTCCAAGAGAGTAATTATTTTCTTCCCCCAAAATAGTTCTCACGTTATTGTCATGTTTAGCTGTTCTTGGGGCAAAAGCTAACTTGTTGATGCAGTCCCCTAGGCATTGGTAGTGAGTTTTTACTTAGCTATGAATAATTTTTATTATATTTCTGTTTACGCATTCTGTGATGTTTGATTGTGGCCAATAAGGAACCATCTTTAAGTGACTTATGCCAAACCATCCACATAGGTCTTCGAAAATTTGACTAATGAACTGGGGACTGTTATCTGATGTAACCCTACTTGTGCACTATATTTTAAGACATATTTATTTAGAAAAGAATCAGACATGGTTTAGCTGAGGCTGTTTTAAACGCAACTATTTTTATCCATTTCGAGAAATGATCAACAATAACAAATAAATATCTTAAGTATATATCAGTTGAGGGTAATTATATTTTTTTATTGCTTTCACTTCTTGGCTATAGGCCGAACAAATGTATTCTTATTAATTCATTTGGATAAGTAGCTGTTATTCTATTTAGATAGCCACTCTGGCTATAATTTACATTTTTAACTAATTGGCACGTATGACGGGACCTGATATACTCCGTAACAAATATTTGAAGTTCAGAAAAAGGACCGCCTCGTGTACTCTGTACTGCTTTTCTAATGTCAAAATGCCCTGCAGTAGGTGCGTCATATAATTCTTGCAAAATACTTAGCCATAAACTAGCTCAATTCATTATTCTTATTTCGTGATTTAGCATAAAGCAAGAGGTTATCAATTATTTCATAATTTTCTGCTGTGTTTCTAATGGCCTCTATATCCTGACGTTCAAAATTTTTCAGATCATTTCAATATTCATAGATATAATTAAGTTCTGGATCAATTTGTAATTCGGCAATGATAGTTTCCCAAGAGTCTAAGATTTTCGATGTTAAGATAGAACATTTATTTCCTTTCCCTCTTCGTGGAAAGCCCATCCTACCTACACCAATGCTACCGGCTGACCATTCTGCATCAAAACAGCGTAATCTGAAAATAAATTTGAATGGTTTTGATCCCTTCAGGAAATTTTAAATCATTCGCTTCTATTAGAGCAGTTTTGAGCATTTCAAACGTCATATTAGCGTCAGTTGACCAAAAAAAAAGTGCATTCTTTCACCTTTAGCAGCGGCCGAGCGGTAAAGTCGCTGAACACTGGTAGTTCGGTTTGAGGTTCGAATCCCGCGAACGGGCTGGCTGCATGGGCATTTTCATGGTTTTCATGGTTCTCCAGGAAAGTCCTACACGAAGGCATCCCTCCCCATAGGCAAATAGCCCTTGAGGCTTTGCCATAATCACATACACACACACCTTTAGCAGCGGTTTGTCTACCTATACAAAGTCCTTTATGAAAATACAGTAGCAAGAAAGTATGCCAAGAAGTGAGGCTAATTTCTTCGCTGTGTTTGGCGACAGGTAGTTCATTGCACTTATTTTAGAAATTTCAGTTTGCGTGCTGCTTTGAGAAATTTTATAGCCTAGGTACCAGAGCTCTTTAGAAGGTAGAGATAAGTATTCAAAATATGACTCCATTAGTATTTAAATATTTATTTATTTATTTATCAGTTAAGAATATCTAAGTACATGAAAGAAACTTACGCTGATACAAACTCAAAAGTCAAAAATATAATAATTGTTGTTCTAAAGTTTATGAGCTTATCGTTAATATGTGATGAATCTAATTGTTGCCACAGTGTCCCCTTCCAGTCCAGAGGACGATCTAAGAAGCTTGGTAAGGAAAAATTTTTACGCGTCTGCCTGACTTTGTGAAAGTTGGGAACATTTGATTTACCGTAGAAATATATTCAGACTGTTTGTTGTTTCTTATATGATTTTCTTCTCGAGAGTCTATTAGTATGTATGTAGGCTTTAAACGATCTACTGATACTGTAGATTTATTCCCACATATATCGATTGTAAAAATTTTTCAGGCCTAGCTAATACTTTGAATGGTTCCTGGTAGCGTATTTCCAAACCCTACCCCACTTTTCGAATTTTTGACGTCATGGAAAAATCGACTAATTTCGCCTGGATGGTAGTTCTTGAAGAAGAAGCCCCTGAAGGGCGAGAAGTAACGTAAACAGAACTTTGGCTTGCGTTTGTAAACAGTATTAAAGCATATAGTTTCAAAGTGCAATCGTTTATGTACTTGCATAATTTGACTGTTTCTGTAATAAGAAAACTTCATTCAGATAAAATTAATTTTAATACTATTATCTGGTTATAGGATTATACGAAATGCTGAATACTGTAGATACTATCGTAATCTTCACATAACCTTTCACATTGTATTTTCCCTTATCATTGTAAAATATATTGTATTATAAAGATTAAATCAAAGCAAATTACTTTGTTAGAGTAATTAGAGATATGAATGTTCTAACCGGGTTCTCTTTTTATCACTTATTATTTATTTCCGCATTGAAAGCACATTTATATTTGACAAATATTTATCTCCGCTGAAAATTTTTTGTTTGTTTAAACTATATTTGTCAATAATGTAATAAAAACTCACTAATCTAGTGCTTCGTAGATCAATATGACAACAAATTAAAAATGTTTTGAAAACAATTCATTAATCGGTACTTTTCCGTTTTGCCGGCGCAAGCGATAAAGTCGCTAATAATGGTGCAACCGATGCCAAACGGAATATTCTCGCTGGTAACCTTTTACGCCTCATTTTCGAACAAGTCGCAGCTTTTTCTTATCAGATTGATTGTTTCTTTCAATACTGACATATAATTACATAGAATTTTTATCAGATAGTTCAGTTTTATGTCCAAGGCCATTTTCGGGAATTAAGTCAATTAGGATGCAATCACAGCGCTTACCCGAAGCCGAAAATATAGAAAAGGTAAAGTCGAGTTAAATTCATCAATTCTAATGAGAATGCATTAGCGAAGTAAAGCACTGCAGTTTTACATAATTTCTGAGTAAGCTATTTGTACGAATTGAAATATTTCTTGCATTTAAACTTGTGTTCCAAATTAAGATTTAACTTGAAATTAATGTAGATAATTACTGAGAGCATTAGATTTTTGTAGAGAGCAGTTTACATGAGATGAGATCGCTTGGGGTCACGTGATATGAACCGGCGAATCAGGATGCTGAACCATGAAAGCATAGTAAATTCTTAAATTAATGTCTTTTTACAAATTTATTGTCTTTATTTATCGGTTTTTTTATAAAATTTTAAGCGATATTAAAATGTTTATGCCTTTAAAAAAAGAATTCTTAAAACTAACATTTTTTTTTAAATATTTTTTATGTGTATACTGTATGTTGTCGCCAATAAAGTCTGCTTGGCGAGATTTGCGCCGGCGAAACGGAAAAGTACCCATTAATCTTTAGTTTGTAGTAGATGCAGTTAAATGGCACAGAGAAAAAAATATTTCAATAAAAAGTTCTCTATGTTAATTCAATAGCAAAATTATTTCTATTTCAGTGAGAAATCCGCTTTCAATGCTTATATAATGGAAAAATGTAACATAAGCCTTTTGGAATATAATATAAGTTAAAGGTTTATTATACAATTTTATGAGAGAAACTTAATAATTTAGTTTTATTCCTTTTAAATCGACATATTCTTTTCCAATAAGTAACTAAAATTTTTGGCAAGTTAAGACTTAACTTGAACACACAGTATTCCGTCACTTAAAATATCAATTAATTGTTCTTTTTCACTTAGAGATACATTGGAATTGAAAATACCAAAGGAAAAATGGGTCACTGATCCAATCTAATTCCTTATTTGGAAATTTTTCAAAAAGTTTTCTGTCAATTTTGTC